TCGGTGCATTACCTGTATGTATATAAAGCTTCTTCCAAAATGTTGTGTGTCAATGTTCCAAGTTTATGTAGTTTATATTTATTAGGTTTTTTTTAGAAAAAATATGATAATCTAATAATAATGTGAAATGTACGCCCTTCTAAGCTTTTAGTACTTTGTATATCTTTTATTCTATTGCAAGACCTGTGTATGCGTCGCAATTTCGTCAAAGGTATATTTTATCAGAAAACATTACAAAAAAACCACATATTCAGATACTGCCGAGCTATCAAGTGTATTCTTAATTCTTGAAACCAACGAACAATTTTAAAGAGAAATTATCCACAGCTGAAACATTTGTCTTCATCCCGTAGCACCACCTCCCCCATCCCGCCACACACACACACCTTTGAATTCATCAAGATCTCAGGAAATATGCGCGGAAAATATTGTACTCTCTCTAAAACAATAACCGATACCTCAAAGCGTTTGAACGCGAAGATGTATTTGTATTAAAACAAAAATACATATCTATTGTTTATGCCGTAGGGGAGTTGGTAGGTCCAATGGTTAACGCGTGCGCGTTGCATCAGACGGTCTGTCATTGAGTAAAGTGGCATGGTTTCGTTTCCCCGCTTGAACGTGACAAGGAGTATGTTCGCCTGTCCAACCTCGTGGGGTGTCAACGGATTCTCCGGTTTCCTTCCGATGGTAAATCCCCTACGCGCAATCGAATTATTGAAATAAAATTACACAATAAGTTAGTCCCGAAATGACCTAGTTTGTGTCGAGTGGGACGTATCGCCCGCCTCTATCTCAATCCTGCATATTGCATATACAATGGTGTCTCGGTCAATATTATTCTTTACGATTGTGCACACATGATACTATCCTATATAATAATATCATTGCCTCTGACAAGTGAGCATATTGTGGGTTGTTTTAATCAATGTTGGTATATCGTTTTAACCAGTCGTGTTGTTTTAACCAGTCGTGCATGCCGGTATGTTGTTTTAACCATTGGTGCATGTCGGTATGTTGTTTTAACCAGGGTGCATGTCGGTATGTTGTTATAACCAGTGGTGCATGTCGGTTGTTGTTTTAACCTGTCGTGCATGCCGGTATGTTATTTTAACTATTGGTGCAGTCGGTATGTTGTTTTAACCAGGGTACATGTCGGTATGTTGTTTAAACCAGTGGTGCATGTCCTTATGTTGTTTTAACCAGTCGTGCATGCCAATATGTTGTTTTAACCATTGGTGCATGTCGGTATGTTGTTTTAACAAGGGTGCATGTCGGTATGTTGTTTTAACCAGTGGTGCATGTCGGTATGTTGTTTTAACCAGCGGTGCATGTCGATATGTTGTTTTAACCAGTGGTACATGTCGGTATGTTGTGTTGACCAGTGGTGTCAGTGTGGTGTGTTGACCAGCGTTTTCGGTATGTTGTTTTAACCAGTGTTGTTGCAAATTGTTTTGACCTGCCTATGGTACTTTAGCTTTGAATAGATTTATTTATTTAAAATTGAAAAGAGAATACTTACCGATTTTACAATATGAAAATAAACAACAAACTCATTTGGTCAAACTTTTATTTATTAATCTACCAGAACTTACCACGAGCAGCATCTTAGATCATCTACAGGAAATAACCAACGTCTTACAACATCTATGGGAACTTGCCAACATCTTACTTACATCATACTATGATTCATAGCAGACAGTGACATGTAACATATTAATAAATAAATAATTGAAACACAAAAATATCCGTACATTTACACACATGATCTTTTTAGATAACAGACTGGATTTAATGTCCACTCGACACAAACTATGTCATTTCGAGACTAACATATGGTTCAATTTTATTTCAATAATTCGAAAGCAGGTAGGGGCCTTTAGCAATGGGAGGAAACCGGAGGACCCGGAGAAAACCCACGAGGTTGCGGGAGGTTGGACAGGCGACCCTACTCCTTGACACGTACAAGCGGCGAATCGAAACCACGCCATTTGACTCAACGATTGCCCTTATGATCTAACGCGCACGCGTTAAACATTCGGCCACCCAACCTTCCACAGTAATTTATACTTACATTAATGTAAAATAATAATTTCCGGAAGGTTTACATGTTTTTTTTTATCTTTAACATTATTTCTGGTCGAATTATATTGCGGGAATGGTTTTACACGTAACTGATTGTTAACGTCACGTGATTCGCGCATTCACTTTGCGTTTTCTTAGGGACGGCGCAAGAGTTTAGTCCTCGAAAACCGGACTATTTAATACTTAAGATTTACAATGGCGCGGGATTGGTGGGGGTGGCGAGGGGCAGATACATGAATAAAAATGATTTCTTTTTTTTAGTGGATTGGGAAAATAAATGTAACTCATTTTAGCAAAGCGTGCTATGTTAGTTTTTTAAAATAGGGCTAATAAATGATATTTTTTTATCTGTTATCCCCAAACACTATTTTGGCGCCATTTTGTGAAAGTAGATAGGCCTATCTCATATTTTATTTAATTTTAATCCACAGATATATGCCGATGGTCGGTATACTTACTTACAAAGGATTTGTGAAAGTGTATGTAGGCTATGTGTGTTTGGGCGAAGGGGTGGGGGAGCGGGATGCATAAATTTCCATGGTTACTTAATTGCTTTCAATGGAAGCTGATTGATGGGGATGCGGGTGGGAACAGCTTAAAACTATGGTTTGCGTATGCGTAAGTGTGTTTATATCTATTTGCATAGGGGCATATAACTACTGGGGCAATATTATTGTTTACGATAGTACATAATTTATTTACTATCCTAAATAATAATATCATCGCCTCCGACAGTGTGCATATTGATAATAAAATAAAATTATGTTGACGTTTTTCAGCTTAGCCTCTGACTTATTTAAAATTAAAAGGTGAATACTTACCAATAATTAACAATATAAAAATAAACAACAAACTCATTTGGTCATACTTGTCTTTATTAATCTATCAAAACTTACCACTACCAGCATCTTAAAAAACCTATTGGAGCTTACCAGCAGCTCTAAGCAGATAATTACTTTATTGATAATAAATTATTGCCCCCTCCCCAATCCCCGCACGAAAGGAACTTTACACGAAGAAGACCGCGTGTTTGCAATTCCATTCCAACAAGAACTTGCCCTGAGCTTTTCGCGTTTACTGGAAATTTTAGATCGCGGCATATTAATCAATTTAAAAAAAAAACATCTAATCTCTAAGCAGATAATAACTTTATTGATAATAAATTATTGACCCCCCCCCCCCCCAATCCCCGCTCGAAAGAAACTTTACACGAAGAAGACCGTGTGTTTGCAATTCCATTCCTACAAGAACTTGCCCTGAGTTTTTCGCGTTTACTGGAAATTTTAGATCGCGGCATATATTAATCAATTTAAAAAAAACATCTAACACCGCATATAAAACGGAAACTTAGATCACGTGGACAAAGCGCAGATAAAATTACGCATTCCCCCCAAAACTTAAATTTATATGTTTAAAAAGGGCGTGAACGCGTAAAATAGATTTCCACGCGACAAGTAATTTATACTTACAATAATGTAACAAAACTATTTCAGGAAAATATGCTATGCTATACTATTGCTGAAAAACGCTGTTTCTCTTAAACAGATCTTCAGTTGAATTACTTTGTGGCCTGTGCAGTCCAGAAAACGCTGTTTCTCTTAAAGATATATCTTCAGTTGAATTACTTTGCGGCCTTTGCTGGAATGGTTTCGCTTGGTAACTAATTGTCGACGTCACGTGACGCGCGCAGCTCTTCAATTCGCTCTTCGGGCAGAGCCCCAAGACTGGAACCGCGGGGTTTAAAAGATAACTGCGGAAATTTATTTACCACCGTTTTTTTTTTGTTCCCAAAAATTATTTTAGTTTATTTATTTACCTGAGGGATTCTTTTATCGATTTATTATTTTTTTTACAAGGATATTTGTGGTTTTGTTTGTTTTTTGTCTTAATGCGAGAGGGACTACTTTTGTTCTTTTCTTTGTTATTTACACTTATTTTTTGTATTTTATTTATTTACACGAGAAATTGTCTTTTCCTTTTCTTTATTTTTTACACGGATTTTATGGTTTTGTTTCTATTTTATTTTGTAGAATTTATTTACGCCAGGTATTATTTATCATTTATTTTTAACGCGGATATTGTTGTTGTTTTTTTTACATATTTCATTTATTTTTAACTGGATTTTTATGGACTTGTTTTCAATTTATTTTTTTTTCAATTTATTTACGCCAGGTATCATTTATTTATCATTTATTTTTAACGCGGATACTTGTTGTTTTTTTTTTTACATTTATTTTTTGTATTTTATTTTATTTATTTACACGAGAAATTATCTTTTCCATTTGTTTATTTTTTACACGGATTGTTACGGAGATTTGTTTTTATTTTATTTTTCAAAATTTATTTACGCGAGGGATTAATTTCTTATTATTTATTTTAAACACAGATTGTTGTTGTTTTTTTAATTTATTTTATAATAGGATTATTTTATCTAATTACGCTAAGGGTTATATTTTCTTTACACGGATTTTTGATGTTTTTTATAAATTATTTTATTTTTATTTACACGAGTATACATGTTTGCATTTTATTTTTTACTCGAATTTTACGCTAGGGAATATGACTGTTTTTTGTTTTATTTATGTTTTACACGGATACTAATTCTTGTTGTCTTTATTTTATTTCAATTAATTTTATTTATTTATGCGAGGGATTAGTTTCTCTATTTTTTTTTTCCATATGCATGACCTGTTTATGGTAAATGAAAATGATGTGTAGGCCACAGGTGTTTATATCACTATTAGTCTTTAATACTTTGAACTTTAAAAAAAAAAGATTTTTTATAAAATGTTCTTTTTCCAAGGGTTATTGATTATTCATAAACCTAGTCGAAGTAGAACAAGTAGAACGTTAACCCAATTTCATTTGATTTCATTTATTTCAAATAATAAAAGAAAAGAGAAAACAAACACAGATTTTTTTGAATGACTGTCTGAGAACCAGAATATTTATTTTTGTATGGTCTAAATGAACAGATAAATGAAATAGAATGAATGAAAATTTAATTACAAAATACTAATATTTTCTATAGGAATGCATCTTATAAAGAGATTAAAGAAGTTGTTTTCAATATCATATTCAAAATATGCTACAACTCACTGCAATGGATGAATGTACAGCCCCAAAATTAAAAAAAAATATAGACTAATATGTACATGTCAATTTGATTGTTTACTGAAATCAAAAGTTAATACAGTGTCATTATACTAATACAAGACAATTTCAAACCTAAAATAAATTGAAACAAATTGATTGGAGTTTACACAGACTTTGAAAGAAAATACCAAAAATGGTTTATTTTCTCTTATATTCAACCACAGATTCGAAACTCTCAACCATGAAATCAAGCATACCCAATATAAATTGACTTTCATACCCTTTGAAGATAAATTTCATCATGAATACTGTTTCTTTAAAACTATTCAGCCACAGAGTTGAAACTTTTCGCACATGAAATAAAAGCACAAATGATATAAATTGACTTAAATTACTGTATATAATTATTCTGAATTCAAAAAGTTAGCCAACGATTTGACTGGCATCAAGCATGACGAATATACATTGGCTCCAATTAAAGATCCCTCCATGCATTTATACCTAAATTGACAATGTATTCAAAGATTTGAGAACTTCAAACACAACGCACCATAAATGCAAATTGGCACTAATCCTTTACACAGGTTCTTTAGATCTATGATACATTTATTCCAAAATTTGACAATTTATCTCTAGATTTGAGAATTTCAAACACCATGCATGCATCATTAATGCAAAATGACTCAATTTTTTTTTTATACACAGACTTTTTTTTAGTCAAGCATATTGTCTCATTAATTGATTTATTTGTATTCCATGATTTGATTTTCAATCAGTTGTAGCTTTTCTGTACCAGAATCTGGCTCTACAATCTTCACTACAAGATATAAACGCTGGACCTGTTGGTGAATGAACAATACTTCTTACTACTCCATTATGACCTGCAAATACATACAAAGAATTACATTATTTATTATTGATTAAATTGCATGTTCTATTATTTATTATTGATTTAATTACAAGTTATATTATGTATTATTAGTAAACAGGGATGAAATAGAACTAAACATATATGGACCAATATAAAGAAATTACATTTTGAAATGGAACTAGAACTCGACATATCACTATTCTTTGGCATCTCGAAATGGACACAAATGGGTCGCAACGCATATAATAATGTAATATGAATGGATATAAACTGATTTATATTCAATCGTTTCTGTTTTTACTGTAATTTCTAATCAGTCATGTTCGACGAAATATGTGATGAGTCAGAATTGAATGTCAGTCTTTGGCGTCTGGTTATTTCAGTCTACACCGGTAGTATTCTCCTACACGGGATATGTTTAGCCTTATTCATTGAGTCGCTTCATACATATGCCGCTTGAACGGATTTTGCACACAATTTGTGGGCTAATTTTAAAATTTTCATTTTGTCTTAAATATTGAATATCAGAAGCCCATCTGTCTTCAGTAAGATCACAACATCAATGTTGATTTAAATTGACCAATAAGTCGTGTTTGCAATGTTGAAGACTGTGGATGATACAGAGTTAAAGGCTTCATTCCTTTAACAGTGATGTTTTTTTACATTGAGTTTTGTAGCTCATGTTGAATCTGCTAAAGCCTACTAACTAGCATGTAGTCCCAGTGGCGGCAGAAGATGGTGATACCATTTGTGTGATTATGAAAACCGATTTATGAACATTCCATTAAAAACAAAAATGTTTTAAAATAATTGTATTTTAACTGAATCTGTGCAATGTTCAACAAAATTAAGCTTGGATATAAGTCGCCAAAGTTCAACAGAATTCGGCCTGGAAATAAGCTACCTTTCTCAGACAATGTCAGGTTTTTGTCAGTTTGCTGCCCGAGATTTATCTTTTGTTGATATTTTTAGTACGTGTCCAACACAAACTTCAAAATGTGAGGTACAACTAAAATCACCATATATATTGGCCAAATTTCTCTATTATAATTGCACACATAGCAGGTATAGCAACAAAAAAAAAGGCTTTTAGTCTTATGGTATACCTGATAGTGCTGGCACGGTATATCGTTAAATCGATGTATCGTGATTCACCTTCTCGTGAGCCTCTAAATTGATTTTTTTTGCTATGTTTTTTTTCGGCACTTCAGTAACTTAATTAAACACACTTAAACTGTTTTGGTCTCTATTTTGATCCATATGAATACCGTGATATAAAACAGTTTTATTTCTTTGACTTTGACAGGAATAAAAATTCTCGCCATAAAAATTTCAATTATTCATTTATTCTGCTGTTGTCTTGGTAAATAGTGACCTGGTTATGAATCATGATATGAATCATATCGTAGTACCTGAATCGCAATGCATAACGCGTTGTGACTGCAGTCGCAATACCCAGCACTAAAACCTGATGTAATTTACTCTATCTATAAAGGTGTTTGATAAATCCCAAATATTCTTTGTTTTAACTTACCTAAAGCTAACAATCTCTGACGTTCAGCATTTCTCGAGTCCCAGCAACATAAACTTGTTGTTTTTTCATCAGGAAATAAAACTGTAAAAATAAAATAATAACTAAATTAACTCTTTATAAAGTAATTTTGTAACTCAGATATTAAATGGTAATCAAAAAAATGCATGCATTGTCAATCCAAAAATATGTCTTCAATCTGATAAATAAACTGTATTGGATTGTACACATTGTTAGCAATGTATCATGAATCATAAATTTACTATTATATTTTTTATCTCATCTAAGTGTTTGTATTAGAATCTGGCTCTGCTAATGGTTTTCGTTTATAAAGACACCTTATTGTCATGGCTTCATAAAAAGACACATTATTTTTGTGAACTTGAGGCGTCCTGTCAAGTGTATTAGGAACTAGGTCTGATTATAGTTATCATATTGAGAGACATTTTGTTAACTTGAGCTTTTCTTCGAAAAGTGTTCCTGCCATGAACATATATATATTGTCAATCCAAAAATATCTTCAATGCAAAAAATAAATAAAATGATTTAATTTCTTTGATCACATCCTTGAACAGTAAATCTACCATACTCATAAAATTTGAAGAGAGCTGAACTCCATAGCACAATATATCCTGTTAGTCCTAGCAGTCACAATCTGAATTATTGAGGGAGCCTAAAATTATTTAAGATCATATACCCACTTCCATCAACCCCCATGTACATACATTCAGAATAATTATCAGCTTTTTTTTTTTTTTTTAGAGATTAGGGAGAGAGAGAGAAATGGGGTTTAACGTCCACTCGACACAAACTAGGTCATTTCGGGACAAACATATGGTTTAATTTTATTTACATAATTCGCTTGCGCTTAGGGGTCTTTAGCAGTGGGAGGAAACCGGAGGACCCGTAGAAAACCCACGAGGTTGGGCAGGCGACCCTACTCCTTGCCACATACAACCGTGGATTCGAAACCACACCAGTCGACTCAATGACAGACTTTATGATACAGCGCGCGCACGCTAACCATTCAGCCATCCAACCCCCCTTTTTAGAGATTAGGAATATAAAACTGACATTTGACACCAATTTTGGTCCTAAAAATTGTTTTGACATTGTTGATATCAGCTAAGTTGACAAGTGGAGCTCTCAAATCTGATTGCTCAAAATTAGCATGTGGGTTTATGGTCCCAAGTGTTTATAAATTATGTAACTTTACCATAATTTTCTGTATTAGATGATTTGTTTTTGACACCAATTTTGGGCCTAACAATTGTTTTGACATTGTTGTCGTTAAAGAGTTGACGAAAGGGGCTTTTAAAACTGATTACCCATAATAAATTATGTAACATTACCATAATCTTCTGTGTGATTGAAAGTGGCTCGTGTTCGATGCTCCATTCTACCAGTCGCTCCGGCACCAGTATAAACGATTAAACAACGATTGGTTGACAGTTCCCATAGTTTAACCAATGAATCTTTACCACTAGATAAAACATACTGAAAAAGGGGGAAAATAAATATTTTTAAATAATTCATACTAAAGACACGAAAAAACCTGAACAGATTTCTAGACATATTTAAAAACAAGGAAATTACTCTGTAAGCTCATAATTAAATTAGTATTCTTGTCCATCATCATAACTAATTAACAATATGTTTCTAAGTCCTAATATCAATTTTGTATTAATTTTGTAACATTTACGGCTTTATCTGACTAAATTACATTGATCAGTAAAAGGAGACTAGAGCTCAGAAAGCATATACTTTAATTTTTTTAGCATTTCAATTAACATTTTTAAAGTGTTATAGGCTTAAACCATCGCTACACCATATTGAACTTTTGTTCTTTGGGAACACCTATTCAAATTTTTCTTCCTTTATGTTAGGGGCGGAAAAAAATATTAAAACAAAAAATGTTTGTCTGCTCTTCTCAAAAGCTTTTAATTCAAAGTTTTGTATGTTTGAAATCTTAAACAAAAATATTGTTCCTGGGACTAAAGTGGATATTTATTTATAAAGACCACGTAGACCCCAAAATTAATTTAGTTTGGCCTTGGAAGCAATTTACCTTAGAATTTCTTGAGAACAGAACTGATGTGACTTCTCTTGAATCGTGAGCATTTTTAAAAGTATTAAAACACTTCTGACTGACTCCATCCCATAATTTAATATCTCCGTCTTTACTACAGGTTACAAACATATTGGCATTCGGTGACCAACTGATCTAAAATAGTAAAAAAAAAAAAAAAACTGTAACCATGGTGATATTCAATATATATATAGAGAGAGAGGGGAGAAATGGGGTTTAACGACCACTTGACACAAACTAGGTCATTTTGGGACTAACACATGATTCTTAGCAGTGGGAGGAAAACGGAGGACCCAGAGAAAACCCATGAGATTGGACAGGCGACCCTACTTCTTGTCACGTACAAATGGGGAATCGAAAACCCCGCCAGTTGACTCAATGACAGACTTTATGATACAGCGTGTAAATGCTAACCATTCAGCCATCCAAACCCCTGATATTCAATAGATAATCCAAATATTTCTGCTCACACAAAAATTCGAATTTGAAGGTTTTCAAAGCTATTTGTTATATGTTACTGGCCAGTGATCAGAAAAATATTCAAGTTGTTTTTCAATGCCTGTTCAATTGTTTTTCAACTTTTGTGATCCGCTGCTGTGTGTTTTATTAAATCTTTGAAAAGAGAATAGTTTTTAAATAAAATAATAATTACTGGTGGATAACCCAACGCTGCCCTGGTTGTGTTTGCAACTCTGAAATCGCAAGTGGTTGGCCAACGCCACCTAGCCTATGTTTCTCCCCAGTCCAAGCTACCCCTATACACCAAATTTCAGCCTCGGGACAGCCCTATTGTAGCCGTCAAACCTGAACAGACAAACAGACGACAGTCAGAAAATAGATGTATATACATCTGTATCGACTGCTGTGAGTTCTATTAAAATTTTGAAAAGATAAAAGTTTTTTAAATAATAATATTGTACATACATCTGTAACTGGAGCTGTATGTTGAAATGAAGGATTATTGGCTACATAACATTGAAATGTGTTCACATCGTATAATCTTACTGAAAATATAAATAATTATTAATTACAACCCTGAAACTGTAATCTAATCAGTGGCCAGGAAGATATTAAGAAGTTATTGTATCTTATCAGTGTAAACTTGCTGTATTTACTGTAAATCACTTCAGTCCAGTAGGTTACATACTGTCTCCTTTTATTCTATCAAGATAACCACGCAAAAAATATAGTCTTGAAAAAAAAAGAGAGTCATAGACAGCATTCAAACTTATCTGAAAGGAAACATTGTGGCCTCTAAAGACTGGACAGGCAAAATTATTCTGGAACAAAAATAGCCATTACACTCAAATTCAACCCATTTGTCGTCTACTCGTAAGTTCTGAACAAGATTCTACAAAAATTGTGGCTTCTTGAGATCAGACATGCAAAATTATGCAAATTAAAGGGGTAGAACTCCAGAAAGAAAATAGGGATTGTGCATCAATTTAATCCCAATAGTCATCTACTGATAAGAATCTTCAACCAAAGGTTTGAAAAAGATTCGTCAAAAATTGTGGGCTCTACGGAGCGGACAAGCAAAATTAAGCTAATTAAAGGGCTATAACTCTGGAGTGAAAATATCGGTTGTGCTCAATTTCAATCCCAAACATTGTCTACTTGTAAGAACCATTATCCTAAAGTTTGAAAAAGATTTGTAGAAAATTGTGTCCTATAAAGAACGGACAAGCAAGTGTGGAGAGATCAACGGACAGGGCAATTGCATTATACGTCCATACCTCATGTTCAAGACTATTGTTGCTGAGGACTTTAAATCATAAAATCTGAGTCAAGTATTTGTGGTTCTGCCAAATGATGGTTGTACTAAGAATGACACTACTGTTGAATTCATGAATGTTAAATAATGTTTTTAAGCAACAAATCCACTTTTCTTGTTAGTTAATGTAGTTTGTTTGTCAAGAAAATATTTTAAAATTTGTAAACAGTATACCCAAATTAATATTCAACTTTACAATTGATGAAACTTACATGTAGGATGATTGACACCAACTAATAAATATTCTCCTGATGGATGAAATGATATACAACGAACTGGACTGACTTCCTATTAATAGAAAATATACAATTTAAATTTAATTCCAAATTTTGTTATCGTTTCGAACAAACCTTTCGTAATAGCTTGTTTTAGATTTAGTTTTAGCATATTTTAATATTCTCAGCCAAAAAATTTTCTCCACAAAAATACTTTTGATTTTCTAAAATACTACATTTGATTTTTTTAAAAAACTAGGCCTACTATTGGTTTACTAAAGTAATAGGCTTACTTTTAATTTTCTAAAATACTAGGTCTACTTTTGCTTTTCTAAAATAAAACTTTTGCTTTACTAAAATAAACCTTTTGCTTTACTTAAATAAAACTTTTGCTTTACTTAAATAAAACTTTTGCTTTACTAAAATAGCAACTTTTGATTTTCCTAAAATGTTTTAAAATAAAAACTTTTGATTTTCTTAAAATATTCTAAAATAAAACTTCTGATTGTCTAAAATGATAGTTTTAAAACATAAAATGGACTGATACTACATGTACATACCTGTATACTTTTGTAGGCTTTTTTAACTGATGGTTTGGAATATTCAAAGAATTTTATACTGTAATCCTTGCTACCAGAGGCCAAAATCTGATGGAATGGGTGAAAATCTAGGCAGCTAACTTCCTATGAAAACAATGATTAAACACATGAATATCTCCAGTTATAAAGATGTGGTCTGTGATAAATGGATGTTTCCAAGTCTTACAAATCATCGACAAGAACTAACAACAGCAGTTTATTTTAAACATTGCCCAAAGTGTTACAAAAACAGACTGAGATAGAGAGAAATGGGGTTTAACATCCACTAGACAAAAACTAGGTCATTTTGGGACTAACATATGGTTCAATTTTATTTCAATAATTCGCTTGTGCATAAGGGGTCTTTAGCAGTGGGAGGAAACCGGAGAAACCCACAAGGTTAGACAGGCGACCATACTCCTTGTCACATACAAGCGGGGAATCGAAATCACGCCACTTGACTTAATGAAAGACCTTATGATGCAACGTGCACACGTTAACCATTCGGCTCACCCAACCCCCCAAAAAGAGACTGACAAGGAATTATATGTTATATTTTGACAGAAGAACGCTCTTGTCTGTCGTTGTCTTTTTTTAGTAGGATCTCTGTTATGAGTGATCATCATGTTATGAGTTGATGTACCATAGTTTTGATCAGAATTGCTCTAATTTTTCAGATTATGATGGACGATGTTAGGGTTTATCAAAGATTTATGTGAAAAGGGGTGGCTCATGCATTAAACCTTACACACCTAATGTTGGAAATCTCACTGAACAGAATAAATGCAGATGTGGCGTGTCCTCAGCAATTTTGTTTCAATAATTTGCTTGTGTGTAGGGTTCTTTAGCAGTCTGAGGAAACCGGAAGACCTAGAGAAAACTCACAAGATTGGACAAGCAACCTTACTCCTTGTCACATACAAGCGGGGAATCAATACCACGCCACTTGACCATTCGGCCACTGAACAAGGTTGGGATCCACTTTTTTTTTATATAACTACTGTTTTATAGGGCCCTATACTGCTAGATGTCAAATGGGAAGAAAACCTTGTCTGATGTAGCTATCATATATTGACTCAGGGTAAAATGAATCAAACAGAAACTTGAATAAAAGTTTCAAAGTGTAAAAAAGATACTTCTTTTCTTCAATAGTTCTACATGTACTTTAAATTTCCAATCATTTACTAATAACTTACATCATTATGGTCATACAATGTCCGTATTACTGGGTGATTTTCCATTTGTTGCTGAGGTGTTTCCATGGCGATCATTTCAGCTGGAGTGGCACTTTTTGCTAACATTCTTTCAACATCTAGAATCTATAAAATATATTTATCTAAAATAATTCCCTTAGAATCTATAAAATATTTCAAATAATTCCCTTTATAATAACACATTTTTTACATTTCAGATCTTTAAAACTTTTTTAGAATTTGTGTTTAATAAAATGACCTTAATCCTTTTATTACTGGTTACTATGGTCACCAGCTGACTGAACTTCACTGAAGCCTATTTTGATTACAGCTATTCTAAGAATAAAACTGGACCTGGTAGCCAGGTCCTACAGAAAGTTTAAGATGAGTGATGACCTGATAAGCAGGCCCCAGATAATGACAATTTGGGTTTGGTCATTGTGGTATCCTTTTTACGGTGGTCATTCATATTCTAGGCTTAGATGTGCCTGATCAACGGTGACCAGGACACGCATAAAGAAAAGGTTAAAACTAATTAAATCTCCTACAGGTGGTTATAATTTTTGGTTTACCTTTATTGATGCATCTTCGGAACCAGTGGCAATAATCTGACCTAAAGAAAACAAACAAAACAGACAGGTATCATGTACAAGGCAGAAGATGCATACATTTTTCAAAATTTAAAGACACATTTCCAGATCTCACAGGGAACACTTGACAAAAGTGAGTTTGACCGTGTACTGTAACAGTTTGGAGAAATAGCCCAAATAATTTGTCTGAAAGTTTCGCCTCAAAATTTTGCACCGTTCAGGAATGATTTTATGTGATTCAATTATATGGAAGAACTGAAACTTTTCCCAACATTTAGCATCCTCAGCCGATGACATAAACACGCCAGTACAACCAGGGTAAAAATCTTTTGATAGGCCTCTTTTTAATCCTAGCGTGGATTAAGCAGTGAAAAAATAGATAATGATCTGAAAATGCAAATGACGATCAGAGGCACAGAAATAGTATACCTGAATGATGAAAAGCTGCCGTCCTACAAGCACCTTTATGAGCTGTGACATAACAAGTTTCATACAGAGCTGCCTCGGCTGATATAGACTGAACTATAATAGAAATAAAACAGTTTAAAATTTACTTTATATTGTTATTTTGAACTACTAGATTAAATATCTGTTTTAATTTATCATAAAATGGTTGAGAGAGAGAGAGAGAGAGTTTAATGTCCACAACACAAACTAGGTCATTTTAGGACTAACATATGGTTCAATTTTTATTTAATTAATTCGCTTGTGTGTTGGGGTCTTTAGCAGTGGGAAGAAACTGGAGGACCCAGAGAAAACCCACAAAGTTGCACAGGTGATCCTACTCCTTGTCATGTACAATCGGAGAATCGAAACCACACCACTTGACTCAATGACAGACCTTATGATGCAACGCGCGTGCGTTAACCATTCGGCCACCCAATCCCCCTAACGTATAACTGAAGTTATATACATTTTGTTTATCTGTAGGCCAAATAATCCAGTCTCTAGTAATTATAAGAAACAAACTAATGTGGCTCTATCTCAAGAGCCTCCAATTACTATTCAGAAATAAAACTAATGGAAACAATAAGACTACAGGCCACACCTGTACAGAAGACCACCAGTGTTAGAACCACCAAAACAGCGACCAATGCCTCCTGGATCTTTTTTTTATATAAATTGAATGTACTTTTATTATATCTTTCTTAATGACATTAGGAAATATCACAAACTAGGTCTCCATCATAAGTGCTTAGGCTAAGTGGTGATTAAAAGTTAAAACCCTCAGCCCAAATCCTTAAACCTATAATTAAGGAGTCTTAACTCAGCATGTTGGAATTTCCGGCCTTCCCAACCATCCCTAGATGTATGATTTGTGTTTAATGCTATATATTTATCCAAAATTCATTTCGATTTGAAAAACTTAAATTTTTTTTAACAGTTCTATAACTATTTATGTGAATCTTCTTTGAATGCAAAACTAATGTTCCTTTATGGATATGGGTTTAGAAGAATATTACATTAATTAATAATTTTACCTTCTGTTTCAAATTCTAAATCTATTCCAGAACCTGGAGCAACTGTATCTGCCTGTTTCTTCTCATTTTTCTCTGTAAATTAACAACAAATTTCAAAATTACAAGACACCTACTTTAAGAATCTTGTTTATGGAACTTATAACATTGATTTTATTAATAAGATAGTTAACAAGACAATAGTCCTTTTAGTAAACAAGATAATTAGTACTAATTACTAATTAAACGCAATATTGACTAATAATGCATTAATAGAAAGAGAGAGAAATGGGGTTTAGTGTCCACTTGACAAAACTAGGTCATTTCAGGACTAACACATGGTTATTTTTTTTTCAATAATTCGCTTGCGTGTAGGGGTCTTTAGCAGTGGGAGGAAACCGGAGGACCCGGAGGACCCGGAGAAAACCCACGAGGTTGGACTTTATGATACAGCGCGCACGTGCTAACCATTTGGCCACCCACCTCCCCAATGCATTAATAACACTCCTTGACTAATAATGCATTAATAATACTCTTTTATTAAACAAGATGTACAAATTTTCTATTTAAAAAGAAAATATTATCACTGACAAAAATATTTCTGGACTATTAATCATTGTTATGTACAAAGTATTACCATCTTCAAGTTGAAAAGCTACTTTGGTTATCTGTAGCAGACGGTCTGATGGAGGACATGTTGGATGTGGCTTAAATATTTCACACAGTTTAAAAGCTGGCTCTTTATAACCATCATAAAATAACTGACTGAAAATAAAAGACAAAAAACACATAAAATAAAGGGTTTTATTCTATAACTACATGCAAATACAAGCAAATATCATTGAATACAGCCATTGAATAACCGATGGTTGTATTCAATGGCTTCCACAGGGACTACTTTTGTCAGAATGACGTCACAACTGCAACCACTGTTTTTGTAAAAAAAAAATGGCGGAACCTATGATTAATTTTGACGTTATTGATGCTGATGCTTTTATAATCTAGATAGTACAGTGCCCTCAGAACTTAATGACAATTGAATTTGTTCTTATTTTGAGATTTGCATATGTAGTTATATAATTATAGAATATAGAATAAACACAGAACTCAATGACCATTGAATTGATTGAATACTGCTTGGGTTATTCAATCACAATGGTTCACTTGAGTGTATCCCTGCTGCAATACTTAGTACTACTACTACCGGTATACATACGTCGTATATAATATATATGTGGTTCACGTGTGCATATGCCAGAAAGACCTATGCTATAGTATACCATCTCTTATCTTCATAGCTAAACCACTAAAGTCACAACAGAGATAGAGAGAGAGTGAGAGAGTGGGAAAGAGAGATCAGAGTGAGAAAGAAGGAGAGAGAGATGGGTATAACTCCACTGGACACAAACTAGGTCATTTCGGGACTAATACATGGTTAATTTTGTCTCAATAATTCGCTTGCGCGTAGAGGTCTTCAGTCCATGGGAGGGAACCAGAGGACCCAGAGAAAACCACGAGGTTGGACAGGCGAACCTACTCCTTGTCACGTAGGCCTACAACCGATGAATCAAAACCACACCAGTTGATCATGACAGACCTCATGATACAGCGTGTAGGTGCTATCCATTCGGCCATCCAACCTCCCAAAGCAAAGCCAAAACATTTTTTCACACCTGCTCTGCACAAAATTTACTTGTATTTTGTGTTTATTGCCTATGCCATATATGAAACGACCACTGTGTTCTTTATCCTAACTCAAACTAATTTAGGAGGAAAATTATAGATTTAGATTTTGCAAGCAAATTGTTTATTATTCAGTTTGGGAGTAAATATTTCAAGGCTAAAGTAGATAGATTATGATAGAGTCGATGGATCAGAAAGATACCGAAAGAAATGCAGTGAGAATTTGGGGTTTACAATTTCGTTGGCCCGTTTAAATATATCAAATAATATAACCTGATAATCAGTCTGTAAAGTTGTTCGCGTCGTTTAATTTCCAAGTCGCCCATTGTTGTACAAACTTGCAGACAATAAAATAACGTGCTTTTGTTTACAATTTTGTAAAGTGCAAAACCGGCGAAAACACACAGACGGAAATGAAGACCCGATCTACCAGTCTAATATTTTATTTTATTTTAACATTGGAGCTACTAATATTTCTTTATTGTGGAGTTGGTGTTTAAAACAGGCTGTATGACAATGTTCAGAAATTATATATAGCTTGATTTACGATCGACACTAGGTAATATTCGGACAGTTTTATAAATAAGTAATTTGTTTATCCAAGACAGGACATATATATAATCCATGGGAGGTAACCCTTATTATTAAAAATAGCGTAAACCGGAGTTGCTTCCCTTATACCATAAACGATCTATTTCTACGGGCTTGCTTGCCAGAAAAAAACCTTTTAAGCATAGAATGAATACTATGGTTAAAAGATGAAATATTTTAACATTTTCAAAAAATCACCAATTATAAATAAAAAATGATAAATAATAATTTTAAAAAATGAAGAGGGTGGATTATAACTTTATAACGATTATCCTTTCTTTATTCCTTTTCCATGCTGTAAAATGTTTTTATGCAATAAATCCCGGTGGCATCCACGACATTATTATTAATTAATTTAACATTAAATGATTTTTCAATTATCCATTTTTTTAGAAGTGAAATTTTGTGTTAGCCTAAGGCTACATTCATTTTAAAAAAAACCAAGGAGGCCAAATATGTGATTTGAAGCAAGGCCTGGAAAATGCACAATCAACAGAAATAATAGCATCTTATAAAATTATAATTTACATCGATATGAAAGGGGCAAAATTAGCTTGGCAATGTCTATAGTTTCAAATCAAAATTACATACATTGATTTTTGGATTAAAAAGGATTAGTGTAAAGGGATAGGAGTTTCTCGGTGTCTTACTTTCGAGCGTAATCTTTGTATTGAATAATATTCTCGGATCCATGTAGTCATAATGACAGACCCTAAAGGTCGGGGGAATGCCCCATCTAAAATTTACCATTCGGTGCATCTAAACAACGCATAATTACAATTGAAAGGAGACGAACTTTTATTTCCCGCGGAAAATGGCTGTTGAAAATTCACCACGTGTTTCATTCACGCGCGAATATGATTAGCCTCGACTTCCAAGTTTGTATTACAGGTATGCTTCATTACTTCCATTCAAATAACGGTTGTTGATTCACTGTGATGTGGCCGGTTTGTAGTGAACGGTAGCTCAGGTAAGTGAAAGTATTTTCTGTAAGCAGGCGTTTCCTTTTTTAATAGCTTAAATAAATGTCCCGTATTTATTCGACCCGAGATCTACTCTTTATCTTATTTTGAAGAAGAATCATTCCAGTGAATAAATGACAGACCTACCAACCGATCAGGTCTGTGTTTCCATATTAAATCTCTGCAGAGAATTATACCGTGTCACTATAGTTAACAGGTTGTTTAATAAATATTTTCACTTTTAGACCTACCGTATATGATTCTTATGATAAACCCTTTTCTATGATGATTTATTTACATTATTTATGCTCAATATATTTTCTTTCAGGAAAATCCATTTTGTATCTTAATAATGCATGAAAATATTCATGAATAAATAGATTTTCTATAAAACGTTTAGCTCTTTCTAGAGTCTTACAGGTAGATTTATTATCATAAATGTTCTGGGACATATCATAGAATTCTCAAAAAGTGGATGGTGAAGGTATGAAAGGAGGTGAAAGTGGGTGAAGGGGGGGGGGGCACTGTTGAAATCAGTAACAGAAACTAATTGGCATACAAAAAAAAGGGTGAGCGTGTGCATCCATGCACCCTCATTGGATTAAAGGCTGCTTTCTCTTGGTTGATTTATATTTGTTTCAAGTAGATGAAACATGTGTCAGTATAATTTAAATCACATTTTTATGCAGAATTAATAGAGAATTATTTATCCCACCCACTTGGTAAATGACAGCTGTATTATACACCACTAGGTATATATGTATATAAATCTATTTGTTTGCTATAGTGACAGGTCAGTTTATCTAAGTATCGACATATAATATCCAAATTTTTTTGGTTTTGTTATTTCTTTGTTCAAGATTTGTATTGGGGAAAGAGAGAGAGATGGGGTTTAACGTCCACTCGTCACAAACTAGGTCATTTCGGGACCAACATATGGTTAAATTTTGGCACAGTTGGAATTTGAAGAAAAAGTAGACAGAACGGTCCGCTGTCTGGTCAAAATTTCAATTATAGCACACTGCATAGCGTACACCGATTGATGCTGATGCTGAAACATACAAGTTAATCCCATTCCATTTCGTTTCTTTTTCAATGTAATCCAACTACTGTAGCGATTCTGACATTAATGGCCTGTCCAACCCCTGGGGTTTTCTCTGGATTCTGCGATTTCCTCCCATTACTATAGACCCTTATACCTATTAAAATAAAATTGTACCATATGTTAGTCCCAAAATGACTCTCTCTCTCTCTCTCTCTCTCTCTCTCTCTCTCTCTCTGTGAGATCATTGAATCCTGTTATAAATATTTGATATGTTTTAAGTTATCTAGATATTTTAATGTCTGTGTGTAATATGTGTATATTATGACTATATATGTGTCAGTACTGACTATAACCAGGATATTTGGTAACATCTGTTGATTAAACTATTATATTCAAATATTATTCACAATCTATTGAAATAATTGAAACATGACTTCATATTTATTGCCTTCTTGATAACCTAAAAATTTACCTCTCAAACTAGGTCATTTCGGGACTAACATATGGTTTTAATTTTATTTCAATAATTCGCTTGTGCGTAGGGGTCTTTTGCAGTGGAAGGAGGTTGGACAGGAGCCCCTACTCTTGTCACATACAACCGGGGAATCAAAACCACGCCAGCTGACTTAATGACAGACCTTATGATACAAAACACACAAGCTAACCATTCGGCAATCCCCCTTTCTCCCTCAAAAGACGTGTCACAAAACAGTGTTCAGTAGTTTGGATGGGACAAAAAAGCAAACCTTTAACAGTTGGAATTCAATGAAAATTAGGCGAAAACGCCCCTGTCAGGGCAAAATTACCTGCATGAAATATCTTCATTAGTCCTGTTGGTGTGTAAAAGTAGGATGTTGAACCCCTTTACATTTCATTTTCCTTTGACCTCTCAAAAAGGGGGGGGATGGCCAAATGGTTAGCGCATGCCCGTTGTATTATGAGGTCTGTCATTGTGTCAACTGGTATGGTTTCGATTAGTTGTACATGACAAGGAGTAGGGTTGCCTGTCCAAACTCTTGGGTTTTCTCCAGGTCCTCCGGTTTCCTCCAAACCCTACGCCAAGCGAAGTATTTAAATAAAATTGAAGAATATGTTAGTCCCGAAATGACCAAGTTTGTGTCAAGTGGACGTTAAACCCCATTTCTCTCTATCTTTCTCTGTCAAAAGGGATAGACAAGACCGACTGTGAAGCCATGAATCTGAACAAATACATTGTCAATAACTTTGATAGTGAAATAAATGTTTCTGTATCATTGAATAAAGGTATTCGTCAATTAGTCATTCCTTTTGAATAGCAAGAATAAAAAAAAAGAATATTTGATTTGAGATAACCTAACAATGTGCAGTTATTCTAACCTGTTTAAAATGAAAATTTATTAGTGAAATGTTGAATAATGAGATGTGTATGCATCAATGTAGATTTAATAGGATTAGCACAAAAGCTGTACAATATGTGAACTATCTATCCACCCACATTTAAACCCACTGTATAACACAGTTTTAAACACACCTTGTTATTCACAGTTAAAGGAGAATTTAGAGCTTTTTAGATTTTGGCTCGTTGGTAAAATGGATGTTCAAAATTACAAATTTAAATAACTGTAGTGTATATGATATCTCTGTATTTCTGGACAAGGGGATCACAGTGGCTAAGTGGGTAAGACGCTGGCTGGCTATCCTGGAGGTCGGGTGTTCGATCCCTGCATTGGCCAAGAAAGTTCATCCAGATTTTCCGGCGTGGTTCTCCCTTGTCAGTCATGCAGGACGGATGGCCTGACAAAGACAGCTGTCTAGTCGTTTGGATGGCACGAAAAACCGAGTCCCGTGTACACATTGGCGTGCACTTAAAAGATCCCTTGACAGTTGGAATTCGATATAAGAGTAGGCCGTAGTGCCGCTTTCCAGGCAAAATTTCCCTCATAGCAAACTGTATGGCATATGCCCGTCTTAGTTAGCCGATTTCGGAGCAGAACAGTAGGACGTTAAACCCCATTTCATTTCATTTATTTCTGGACTTTGAGTTAGCTTCCCCTTTAATATTGATGGTTCTATATTTTATTAATAGGAATAGGTCCATGTTTATTTATTGATTTATGTATGTAAATTAGATCTAAATCAACATACCGGGATATATACTATTTATTATTATACAACATACAGGTACAACAGGTAGAAATTTTACATGAAATTTGATCTATTTTTATCTGCAGTAAGCATCTCAGTATTTTGATAGTGTCATGTTCATTTTGACAATCAACATAGATAAAAATACTGGTACATACACTTTATTATAGCCTACTACAGGTATAAATTTTACTTGAAATTTGATGTATCTAGTATCTGCTGTGAGCATCTCACTATTTTCATATTGCTGAGTATATAGGATTTTATATAACAGTATTATCTTTCTGTTGTCAAGGTGTTTCACTGTCAACAGTAAATATATTTTCAAATTATTATTATCCTGTGGTCAAGATATTTCACTTTCACCTGTAAAGATATAAAGTATTTTTCAAATTATTATCATCATATGTGCTCAAAGTATTACATTGTCATCAGCAACGATATAAATTATTTTCAAATTGACTGTGATATATATACAGTAATAAATATCTACTAGGTCTAGTACAAGGTGTGGTTTATAGGTGTATTTACTGTGGGGTATATAGATATATAGATATTAAACAGAAGTGTCCACATTTTCGTTATTGGTAAATTTAATCAGTTTTAATTAAATTTTATAATTCTGTCTGCTTGAAATATGTTTTATTCATCAGATTTGAACCTATGCTTCAGTATGAATTGTCATATCTAGAGCACATAAAAGAAAAGGGCAAACAGGAGTAAAAAAATTTGGGTTATATGTAAATCTTGTCTGGATACTTTTGTTATGTACATTATATCTCGACACATACCTGTTTATTTCAAGTACTCTTTAGCCAGTCTTTGTTGAAGTGTGTGAACTTATCTATTTTCTTGTAAAGATTTTCTTTTCTTTCATGCCATAATTCATTCATTCAGGTATATTTTACATTGATATATACATGTAAGCTGATCTACCTGTATATATTATAGTCTATAGGTTAATATGTTATAACATACTGTATTGTGGTTTCTAGTGCTTTTAAGTTTCTTTTATTCATGTGGGGTTTTTTGGGTTTTTTTTTTATTTCAAATATGTAAAAATTAATTTCTGTTGGTTTCTTTTATTCATGTGGGTTTTTTTAAAAAAAAATTTTAATTTCAGATATATACAAATTAATTTCTGTTGGTTTCTTTTATTCATGTGGGTTTGTTTTGTTTTGTTTTTTATTTCAGATATATACAAATTAATTTCTGTTGGCAGTTTGACTCATATCAGTTATTATTTTCAATTATTTTCAGACAGTAGCCTAAAGGAGGAGTGAACCAAGGTTCTCTCATTGCATACTTAGAAAGCCGAATTAGCCCACAGTGTGCATCATTTGAGGCTGAGGGATTTTAAATCTTTTGCAGACTGCAATATTGTGAAAATTTGGTCAAATCTTTTGATAGGCCTCATTTTAGTCTTGAATCTATGTTGGTAGATTATCTGCTGTTGATATTTTGATTTTGATTTCTTAATTAAATGTTGAATAATCAATTTGAGTATATTTTATCGTGATATAAGCCGTGAAAAATAAGATACTGTGCGAATAATGCAAATTGCGATCAGCAGCTTTAGGTGTAGTATGTTGGGAAATCGAAAGTATCTGTGCAAAATAAAATGTTTTTGGCTACGGATATTAGAATACGTTATAAAGGGTCTGTTAGAAAGGATAAAATTTGGAATCAATTTTAAAATCTGTATTTTACATTCATTAGGAAATAAGTCCTAATGTACATGGCGGGTTGGATGGCCAAATGGTTAGCGCGTGTGCGTTGTTGGTGAATCAACAAGCGTGGTTTCAATTCCCCGGTTGTATTAACTTGACAAAGAGTAGG